ATATCACTGAATTCCGATATCATTAAGGCTTTCAAATGACCATTAAATGGTCCATGGCCAAGGGGATCAATATCGGCCGTCCATTCAAATACTCCCATTTGGACCTTGATCCTCCACATATTTACAAGCCATGCCACTCTTAAAAAACTATAAATAGCCCCCACTCTTCTCATGAGAGGGGAGGAAGAAGAAGGAAAGGAAGGGAGGAGTTTGGGAGCTTTCTTGTCGCCGACCACCGCCGGACTTCCGTCGGACTTCCTCCAGTTCGCCGACCACTGCTGGACTTCTGCCTCCTCCGACCACCGTTAGACTTCATCCAGTCAACCGATCTCCTCCAGACTTCCTCCCGTTCGCCGCCGAACTTTTGCCCGACCGCCAATCATCGCTAGACTTCAGCCAATCCTCCCAATAATTGTCATCCGACTACGGTCATCCTGACCTCCGTCGCATGCCGACTACAATCTTTCAGACCTCCGTCGCATGCCGACTACAATCTTTCGGACCTCCGTTATCCGCCTACTACGATTCTCCCGACCTGCATCGCCCACCAACTATGGTCCTTCTGACCTCCGTCATCTGCCGACAACAGTCCTTGCAACTCGCGTCACCCGCCGACTACATTCCCATCCGACTAAGGTCCTTCCGACCTTTGTCGCCCGCCGACTACGGTCCTCTCGACCTTCGTCGCCGGCTAACTATGGTCCTGGCGACCTTCATCACCCGTCGACTACGATTCTCTAGACCAGCATCGCCCATCGACTACGGTCCTTCTGACCTCTGTCATCTGCCGACAACGGTCCTTGCGACCCGCGTCGCCCGCCGACTACATTCCCCATCGACTACGGTCTTTCTGACCTTCGTCACCCGCCAACTACGGTCCTCGTGACCGTCGTCCGTCGACTACGATTCTCCCGACCTACATCGCTCACCGACTATGGTCCTTCTAACCTTCGTCGTCTGCCGACAATGGTCCTTGCGACCCGCGTCGCCCGTCGATTACATTCCCCGCCAACTACGGTCTTTCCGACCTTCGTCGCCCGCCGACTACGATCCTCTAGTTCTTCGTCGCCCGCCGACTACGGTCCTTGCAATCTTCGTCACCCGCCGACTACGATTCTCTCAACCTCCGTCGCCATACAATGGTCCTTATGACCTATGTCGATTGCAGACTACGTTCCTTCCGACCTTTGTCGCCATACAATGGTCCTTCTGACCTATGTCGCTCGCCGACTATGATTCTTCAGACCCCATCACCCGCCGAATATGATTCTTCTGATCTATATCGCTCGCCGACTATGGTTTTGCTACCTCAAATAAACATGTCAATATTAATTCATCCAACTCCCACCGTGTAATATACTATATATGATGCATATTTGCTACATCGAGTCAATACATTCCTCTTAAGGAAGGGCCTCATTTGTAATAGACTGCAAATACTAATGGATTCATTTAAACTGGGCCAGGCCATGTGGTTTTCTCCCATTTTCAGGGGTTTCCACGTAAAAACTCTGGTGTCTCTTATGAATGCTACACCCTCTCTTTTTTCTGCTTGTGTACTGGATCTTCGTACAATGCTAAGACGTTAAACTTTATCATTCTCCACCACCGCAAATTTTTCAGGATGCAACTGTGGACCTCCGAAGGAAGCTCGGGCTCGACAGACTCGACTCGGCCCACTGAACCCAGTGGGGAGGGCTATAACGTCTGGCTTGGTCAATTTGACCAAGTCAACTCTTTAGGCCCGGGTCTGGGCAAAATCGAGGTCAACAGCAACAATTATTATTATCGATTTAGATACTGATATGAATGATTCACAGTATTTATATTAAGCATGTAATATACTGAGCACGTGATATAGAATGTCTGGATAACATGTGTACTTTCCTATATGATTTTACGATATTTATTTGATTTCAACAGTCTTTACTAATGTTTTGATTCAATGTTTTATCTGATTTCTATACTTATTTGTATTACTTATACGACAATTGTTTAATAGATTTAACACGCATACTAATTTATTGCTTAACTGGCTTTCATACTGTAGTGTTTTAATGTTTATATATTATACTAAAACTGCATTTAAATTTTATTATTTTTGCATTGATTTAATGAGCATATGAATGTAACTGCTATGATTTGACTATTGATATGTATATTACTCATTTGTCGTGCTTTGAATTCAATTATAGATTTTGGTGACTTGCTGGACTTTTTAAGCTCATTATATATGATAAATGATTTCAGATAAGGGCAGGCGCATAGGGGTGTGAAGCTGGTCATAATTCTTCAGGTTATGTTTCTTTTTTGTTTTTCTTTTGCACTCAGGACAAAATAATTATGTTATAATTGTGTAGATTATAAGTATGGTATATGATTTTTTGGAATGAATATAGATGTGTATATTAATATTTTAAATTTATAAATATGTTTTGATGTTTATTAATGATATGTGATATTATATAGCTCTGATTGTTGTTTATTAAAAGATTAAAAGAATAATTCCTCCAAATTAAATTATGGAGCATCACATCCATTCCTATGCAACGACACTTCTTGCGCCTATGTCCAACCCCGACACGCCATGGCCGAACAACCCACATGCTTGTGTCCGAAGGCCACGCTGGTGAGCCCGTCTGCTTTGCCTTGCACAATCCTACTGTTGATCTCCTGTGTTGCCTACACCGCGACCTCTGGTCCACCACTTATGTGCGTACGAACCCGCTCTGAACCTCCTGCACAAGCTCCAATTCCACCTCTTACAGGCTCATGAACCCTGCCCCTACTCCACCGCCAGTCTATTATTGATCACAATAAGCTTCCTCCTCCTACCCCTTGATCATCTCCACCAAGCTCTAATAGCAATTTGTTCAGATTCTTGAAGGGTTATGATTATTGAATGTAGAGAGAGAGAGAGAGAGAGAGAGAGCCAAAAATGAACTACAATGTTATTACTTGGCTTCTCTTTTCTCTATTACAGCCATATACACTTATTTATAGACAAACAATTAAACAACTCTAATCAACGACTATACAAGGCTACACAAATAACCTAAATAAAATACAACATGATCCTAAGGAATAACTAACTTAAAATTGGAATCAAAACGCCTAACATAATTCATACGAATATCGCAAACAAGTTTTACTCCAATCATGCCGACAAAGACGTAGTCGGCGATCACCATCAAAGGCTAGTGCTCGAAGTTGACGAAAACTTTAGGCTAGATTCTTGGCATTTGTTCTTTTCCTCCAGTAAAGGGCAAATTATTGCGTCCGATGTCCCGATTCGTCCGGACACCAATCCGGTGTCGCCACGTCACCAAAATACATCGGGACCCAATGTATATGAGTGACGTGACGTCACCGAATTGAATGTCCGGACATCCGGTGAGCGGACGCAATAATTCGCCCCGGCAAAGGGAGCAACCAAACATATTACAAGTGATCTCTTATTATCAATTCAACACCACATGATTTATCCAATTTTCATGATAGAACCCATCATCAATATATTTATATATACTTCATTCATCTTTGTTTTTGGTAATTATAGGGAATATTATCATTTATAACATATAATATATACTATTGGAATTATTTCCACCAAGTATACATCATGATTTTTTTCTCTTTCTTAATTTTTATGTAAATATCTTGCATCTCCTACAAAATATTTTTAATTTTTTTTATTTATCTGAATGAGATCTCCATAAAATATAATATCAAGATGACCAATTTTTTTTATCCAGTGATGAATATTCTAACAAAACTATTAAAAAACATGAAATATGCTATAGCGACAAAATATGCATAAAATTTTTCCAGAAGAAGATAGATTCAGCCAATCAATGATAAAATACAATTAAATAAAGAATATCCATATACATACCTGCTAAAGAATTAAAAACGAGTCAATATCGTACAAGGGGAAAAAAATTATAGATAAAAGGCTGAAATTAGAATGACTCAAGTTCGACTCGAGCTCAAATATCCTGCACAGGCACGGCTTGTCGTGATGGGTGCGAGCTCGCGAGCAACTCGTGAGAGGGGTAAGTCTTGTTTCAATACCACTTCCGCATTCGTGGTTCCACATGACCGTGCCCAATCCCGCACTGCCGCTCCAGCACCCACGCTTACGGGTCTGCCTTCCGCGCTCATGCTTCTACCTTTCGCGGTGGAGCCGCTCAACAAGTAATCGAGCTGAGTTTCCTCTGGATCGAACTCAAGCTTCATAATCCCATGAGCTCGAAAATCTGCTTGAGCTCGAAACTTAATAAACTCAACTTGTAAGTTTGTTATCGAGTCAAATTCGAGTAGACTGTTGAGTCTGCTTGACCCGTTTGCACCACTACTTAAAGAGCATAAAAAATTAAGCAGAAATTTTTGAACAGTAGTTGTATACAAAATAATAAAATTATTATAATTTTTAACTACAGTACAGTAGCGATGATGCCCAATGAGAGTTGGCGGCGACGATTATCTCACCGCCCACCACCACCACCACCGTAACGGCAACCCAAGGAGGAAAGAGAATCCGGGAGTTAAAACAAGCTGATAATTACATAAAAAAGAACTAACTTGACTGTTAGGTGAATGAATCCATAGGTTTAACCGTTTAATTATCAAATATCCATTAGTTCAATCAAATTAAAGCAAAAAAGAGACCTCCCACCTCTGTGTCCATCTTATCTCCCCCTTGATACAGAAACTTTCCACCCCCTCTCGTCTCCTTCAACGAGAGCAGAAGAACTACAGTTTCTTAAATCTGATATTAAACCAACATGAGAGAGTAACAGAACTTACTTTTACAGCAATCTTCAGAGAATTTCGTTTGTAAAATCAAAGTTCCAAATATGATTGAAGAGAGCGCCATCTCTCTGAACTTATTATAATCCATAACAAATTAACAAAATGGTTAGTAGAATATTATTATCTACATTCTATGTGAGCTCTGCTGTCCACAGTATTACAAAAGAATAACAAATAAACAATCATACATGAAGACTCACAGAGCATTATAAGAAGAAAAAGGATACACATAAACCAGTTATATGTAGTGATAGTCAAAAGATGAATCTTTAAAAAAGAAGAAATCTTTACTACCATCACAATCAAGCCAAGACTAGTTATAATCAGATTAAAAACCAAGCCAGAAACCAAAAAGATCACAACTTCTACAAACAACAGTTATTAAGATTCATCTACTAACCACAATCCCTTCAGCAATCCATCCAAACCAATCGTTAGAAGATTATATTTTTCATGGGGAAGGTTAATGGGCAAAAGAGGAGGAAGAAGAAGAAGAAGAAAGCCAAAATAAACTTCTTTCTGCTCTTCCAGTCTTCTCACCTTCTCACTGAAAGTTTCTACCTGGAGTGTAGATGGAAAGATCAGGCCACCCGCCGGCCCAGCTGCTTGTATCCCCGGGTAGGCTAAGAAAATTCTCCGGCATCACGGTAGGAGGCGCAGCTGCTGCGCTTTCGTTACCGCTACTTTCAGCCGGGCTCTGCGCCTCCGGCTCCCGCATAGGGCGAGTCACACCCTTCAAAATAGGCAATGAATCAAGAGATTGAAAGCATTCAAAGAAATTCCCAAATTGCGCTGTTGAAGAAAGCAGAGAGCTGAAGCTTCCGGTCATGTCGAGCATCCGGTGATCATTGTCAACAGTCGGGACGGAAGAAGAGAAAAGCTCCGAGTTTTTAACCTCGCCGGCTGATGAGGACGGTGAGGGGCGTTTGGAACTGACGCCGCCGGAGGCAGAGGGGGAAGCGGCTCCGGAGGAGCATAAGGAGCGCTTGGAGTTCTTACGGGTTCCACCGCCAACAGGAACGTTACGGAGGGTTCCGCCTTTAGTCCAATAACGACGGCAGTCTTTGCAGAAGTGGCGCGGCTGAGAGAGATTATAGTTGTTATAATAGCAGAACTTCGTGTTGGTCGACTCGCAGCGCGGGCACGGTAAGTTCTGCTCCGGCTCCGTCAACGGCGGCCTCGACGCCATGAACGCCGTCATCGTAGTGCCCTGCATCTTCTCAGAACCGATGAAAGACGCAAACTTTCAGCTTTTTCCGGCGTTTAAATCTCCAGTTTTTCTCTCAAGCTCTGGCTCAGATAAGTTCGAAGAAAAGATTGGGCCTTTTATGGAACGCCGAGATGCGTGTCTCTCCCACTTTCTCTGTCCCTGTTAACAGTCGTCGGGTCAATTTGGGTCAGCTTCTGTTTGGTGAAGAGAGGAAGATGAAAAGCGTTTGCTAAGCAAATTCAGAACGCAATCCAAATGAACAGGCATATATTCGTCAACTATGGTTCTTGAAGGTGGGTTGTGAGGTTCGAGGATGTGGAAGGAAGAATATATAGGTCGGCCTTTAGGATTTCACGTGATATTAAGTTGCCCACTACAGTTCTGATATCAGTGATGCTTTGCTAGAAAGCTTGCCCTGTTTTGTTTTGTTTTTTAATAGCTAGGCTTCTCATTTTCCAAGACGAATCGATTCGATGGAGAGGTTCTTTGTTTTGTGAGTGGAGATGATGAGAGCCCAACTCAAAACAGAATTATAGATAGTAAAAATTCTAAGGAAAGAAAAAAACTCTAACAAGTAAAATTTAAGAGTTAAAATCATACTAACTCTATGAAAATGAATGAAGCTCAATATAATAAAAAAGGGAGATAAAAATGACTCTGAAAGAGATTGGGTTGAAAAAATATTCTATATGAGGTCATAATAATATTGCTAGAAATAAATAATAGTGATGCCACCAACCTACCAAGAGCAACCAATCTTTCAAAAGGACATGTGGCCCAAATTTTGGCGAAGATTACTTCTTTAAGACATGAATTTCAAGCATATATTTTATGATTTATTGCTTATCTTCCGATCAAAAAAGAGCAATCAAGTTTAAAAGAGATAATTTAATCTCAAGTCGAAAAAAGATTGGATCTTTCAACATATTACGATGTGTAGCACGAAATAAAAAACCATATAAGTTATATCACCGTTTTAGTGAAGAATTATTCAAATAACCAGGTAAATGCGGTTTTACGTTAGAGAGGCTTAAGAATATCTATATGAGAAACCTTAGGGTTATAAATAAACTAGTGCACTTGATGAGCAGCTCGATACTCACTCATATAATGCTCATTTTTATTCGTTTATTTATATAATTGAACAACATTTTAAAGGAAATAAATGAACAATTTTGAATACTAATTCGTTTGTTCATTTGTATTTGTGATCATGCTTGTTTGTTGTTTAAAAACCAGCTTATCAAAAATATGATAAAATGTTGTTTAATTATAGCTTAAATTTTTATTTGATAATTATATTATATATTATTGTATTGAATTTCCTATGGTTTATATATTTAAAAAGTATATAGATTATAAGATACATATGTATGATGAAAATATTAAATAAATAACTAAATGGATAAATTTAAATATTTTGTTATTATAATATAAATTTCATCAAAACAACTTAATAACACATAATGAATTATGATGATTTTTTATTAAAAATTATAAATTTAATTTTGGGTAGTAATTAATGTATATTTTTAAATTATTATCATCAAACATATAATTAAGTATGCTTGATTAATGCTCAATTATAGGTCAAACTCAAAAAGAAAATTAATAAATAAGCTTTAACAAGATTTTATAACTTAGATCATATTCAAGCAGAATTTGAGCTCGACAAGAAATAAATGAATGAATTTGAACAATATAGTAATCGTCTTAACTTTGTTCATTTATAGCTTCTAAGTAGCGTTCTTTGATCCAATTTAAAAATATAACCAAAGCATATGGAAGAATATCCATTAGAAATTTCCAAATATGAATGTTAAAGTTTACTTTACATTATAAAATGAATGATATGTGGGCTAAAAATGCCTCATTGAATTTATATTTATGAATCTTATTCTTTTTAAACCATATAATGTAACAAATTTATTGATGATCATAATATATAGTTTCTTATGACAAGAAAAATCAAAGAAAAGCTATGGTTCAACACACGGTAAAAAAGTGGGCTAAAAAATAAAATGATATGTATTGAAAATGTAGCGTGTATTTGTTGTAGAGAATATAGCATCATGATCGTGCCAAAGATATCATTATAAATGTGAGAAATTATGGATAGAAAATGACACAACTAAAGGAGAACTGTTTGATAGTTATTGAAAGAGAAACAATGATTATCAAAATCTTCCAATAAGCCACAAATCATTGAGGATTAAATATAGCATCATGATCCCAAACTTATAAGTAAGCCATTTCTTGATAAAGTAGTGGAGGAATGTAATCAAATCAAGTCATACTTGCTCCAACATTCATAAAAGTAACCTTTGTTGAGTAGTCAACTTCAAGTAACTTTCATTTTTGTAACTTTCCTAAAGAATATTCAAGCAAGAAAAATAAAAACCTCATTTATTTCTGGGCAAAATATTTTTATCCCAAGCAATTTTATAAACAAAATGTTACGTTGATCAAATCGATCAAGTCATATTGCTAACATGAATAAGTTGTCGAAAAGTTGTTGCAACTCGAATCAATTCTCTTAAAGTTTAAGTCTCCCAATTAAAAAATAGTATATTCAGGTTAAGTCGCCAATTAAATTGCCCTTGAGTATATTGAATACATTGACTGAGTGTCTTTGGCAAGTGAGTTGATTGGCTAAGGCGATGGTTTAATTGGTGAAGTTGTCATTATAAGGTAGATGATGAGCTCCTACTTAATTGGTGTAAAATATTATGTTCATGACGAGTTCTTCTAAAATGATTCCTAAAAGTTGAGCTCGTTGGATCTGGTGGGTGCATGCCTCTAAAGTGGGGCAAATTATTACGTTCGGTGTTCGAATTCTTCCGGACACCAATCCAGACGCGCCACGTCACCAAAATACACCGGGTCCCAGTGTATTTGGGTGACATGTCGCGTCTGGATTGAATGTCCGGACGTCCGGTGATCGGACGTAATAATTCGCCCTAAAGTGGATGCCTCTTCACTGAGGCAAATTTGCTCTAAGCAAATCCCTCATTATGGAATCGAGTATCCTTCTTGATCGAGCTCTTTTAGGGATAGTTTGCCCTATCTTATTTGATTCCTCAGAGAGCATATTTGATCTGTACGGCTCACTCATAATTGTGCAAGAGGGCATTCAACCACATCCTTCTTTTATATTTTCTTAACATAAATTAAATAAGATTTGTAGTGGTTCCCTCCAATTTTCTTTTCAACTATTATCTTTTTTTCTCTTATCCTATGTGGATTAGCCAAATTGTTACATCACTCATAAATAAATTTAGATCCAATAAATCCATTCATCTTTTTGGAAATCTCACCATCTAAAAGAAAACAAAAACACCAACTAAGAATCCATTTGAGAATACATTTATTCATATGAAGAAATCTTAATCAACATCAATATAATTCTAAGTAAAAGATTTCAAAAGTTTGCAACCTAACTTAATCAGTGCGGACGTCGAACGTCATTCGGAGATCAACTAGAATGCGTCACTTTACGCCCTTGCTCGGTACCGTTCTGCTCGGTACCTCCGACGTGATGCATTCTAGTTGATCTCCTGATAAATTTTTTGGTCTTACAAAGTAATTTCTCCGGCTAATAAAAGATCATGACTTATTAGTTTTCACCCATCAATTCAAACTTGGATTTTCTCCAAAATGGTAAGAGATTCTTCAGCCAAAATTCTCGCCGGTGTAAGAGATATGCCCACCAGTTCTCAAAAAGGAAGAACAATAGCTTTAAAGTTCAGGATTTTAGCTCACAGCTTCTCATTTTTTTAGATTTGGCAAACGCGATTTCACCGACGCGTTCTCCTCCACTTGAATGCGGTCGGGCCCACGGAATGAGCGACTGACTCCGGTCCACAAATCCGGTGAGTAAAACCAATAAAAAGGATTTTATTAGATATTCAAACCTATGCTGTCCAACCAAAAAGGTTTATTTCATAAATAAACAGAAATCATTATGGGCATTGTTGAAATTTTAAAATTTAATAAATTGGCATTAAATTTAATATTTATAAACTCTTTTTTTTTTGGAAAAATAATATTTATAAACTCAGAATAACGCCGCCATTCCTTATGGCATTTCTATTTCTCAAAAAATTTTTTTTAAAGGAAATATCAGTAGAAAGTAAATTTGTTTTCATTTTAATGATACGAATTAATTTTATGAATACATGAAATAATTGGTAGCAGAATGCAAAAGTGTCGATTGCGTAGTTGCGTGTGGAAAAAGCGAGCCGAAGGACCACGACACCGAATCCCGTCGGCGCCTTCTTCGGCGGCAGGTGGGGGGCCCACTTGAACTGCTCGACGCCGACACGTGTCAGGCCGTCGCTCGTTGGCGTGAGATGGTGGGAAGAACAGGATAACCTGCGGAACAGTTGAACAGGTTCACGCCTGAAGCGAGGAGCAGACAACACTGGGGCTCGCGCGGGGAAGGGGCCAGGTCAAGTCCCATCTTGTCCGCCTCGCGTGCGGCTTCGGGCAGGCGCGCGTGCGGGCTTCCGTCTACCCGCAGACCGACGGGCAACAGAGAGAATGATAGACGAAGAGTCGATAGTGGGCGGGACGCGCAGCGCCGCGATTCATCGTAACGAGGATCGGCGCATGGTTTGGGATGAGCCCGTGGGTGGAAAAATTATTAGGTCCGGACACCTGACGTAGCTCTACATACGGACGTCAATAATATGTCGTCACGTGCTCTTACTCTTTAACGCACTGCTCGACGACCTGTCCCAAACCGGAACCCAGTATTGCTCTGTTCGGGTATTGCTAGGTATTGCTTGTCAATAACGAAAAATACCGCTCTGTCAAGACCAATACCTAGCAATACCGAGCAATATCGAGCAAAACAGGGGTATTGCTCGTTATTGCTACGTATTGGTCTTGACAGATTGGTATTTCTCGTTATTGTACATCAATACCTAGCAATATCGGATCCGGGTCGTCGGGCTGCGCGGTAAAGAATAAGAGCACGTGACGATATATTATTAGCGTCCAGATGTAGAGCTATGTGAATACTGTGAAGTGTCCGGACCTAATAATTGTTCAGTGGCAAAGCAGGTTAAAGAACGTGTGATAGGAAGACACGTGTGCGGGAGATGAAAAGAGAACGGAGCGAGGAGGGCCGTCCGATCGGCGTGTTAAATGTGGCGCGCACGTGAGCGGCGTCGCCGGGGCTCGTGAGTCAATGAGTCAAGGGGTAGGTGAAGAAACGCATTGGTAACGAGGGTGAAGCTATGGGCTTAGGCCTCAAGAGGATGAGAAGACGAGGGAGGGTACGCAAATAAATATGTAATAAGTGAAGCTTTATAAATAATTAATTACGCAACTTATCTCAGTCTGTTGATCGTCTTAGAATTTTCCATAATTTTTTTGCACTATATATTGTATTTTCAATTTATCAATATTGAAATTGCACTCATAGTATAAATAAAGCTGTTTGTTCTAAAATTATGATATTCCTTATTTATTTTAATTTTAT